CACTCAACCCCCCACGGACGGGGCATTCTCATCCACGTTCAACGCCGGCACTCAACCCCCCACGGATGGGGCATTCTCACCCACGTTCAACGCCGACACTCAACTATCCACAAACTATGTCCTGAGTCCTGACTGACGACTCAATGTTTGCACGTCTTACCATTAGCGACGTGCTACACACAACACAGTAGATGTCTACATGTCTTACCGTTAGCGGTACATGCTACACACTCTGCTGCAGTGTATATACTGATCTTCTCATTCTCAGAGTTCAAAAACAAATAAAGATCCAATTTATAAAGATACTGGCAACAAAAAGCAATAATCATGAAAACTAAAAAAAAAAAAAAAAAGAGAGAGAAACATTTGACTTACATTAGAACTGACGTAGGACAGAGCCACTGTCAGAATGGAACCCCATCACAATCAGGGGCGACCTCTACAATTTCATAAATTGAAAGGAAGGGCTGGAATTTAAACCTGCTTTTAGAATGTGACCTCAGAGTTCACCTGTTCTTTGACTTGACCTCAAATATAAAACTCTTAACAGAGAACGACTTTCCCCTTTCAAATACATCACTGCATCAGACATCTTTCACTTCTGAAGGATTCTCTTCTGCTTACTGTTGTGCCGTCAAATGGATTCCAACTCACAGCACCCCTAGAGGACAGAGTGGAACGACCTCAGAGGGTCTCCAAGGCTGTCAGTCTTTACAGGAGCAAAGCCTAAACCAAACCCACTGCCGTGGAGTTGATTCCAACTCACAGCACCCCTAGAGGACAGAGTGGAACTGCACCAGAGGGTTTCCGAGGCTGTCATCTTCACAGAAGCAAATTGCCAGGTCTTTCTCCCAGGGAGCCACTGGTGGATTCAACCCACCAACCTTCCCATTAGCAGCTCAAAGTCTAACCAGAGTGCTACCAGGGCTCCGTCTCTACTCCTTAAAAATAAGCAAGGCCTGCTTCCCAGTATGGGGTCCTCCTTGCTACTGAAGACCACTCTGAAATGGCCTTTCCTCTCATCAAGGCTCTGGGCCTTGGTGGTAGCCACTCCATACTCGGACTCCTGAAAGCACCCGCTGCTCAGCCAGAATAACCACAGGAGCCCATGGAAAGAGCATATGTAATGTTTTACTTCATCTCCCTCCACGCATCATATTAAATATCTGAAATATATTAATCTTAAAAAACAGTATTAACACAGCACTTGCTGGATGCCGGCCATGGCATGAACCATGAGTCCAGATTGCAAAATCCCAGGTTCTTAAAGAATGGGAGTGGGTGTGGTTGAGTCCAGACCTTCCAGCTGCCCCACTGATGAGAGCGCTCTGGCACTCTGCAATGCGTCAAACTGGGAAGGAAAAGGAGCCGTAAAAAAAATGTTCATGGTCATTCATTGTTCTGTTGCCAGGGAGATGCTCGTGGTACAACAGGCCCTTCCTTTAGTTTCAAAGTGAAATGAAGACCCCAAAGCAGCTGCATCACGTGGCGGCCGAGCTGTGGCGACCACACGTGTGCAGAGCGCCCGGCAGGGTCTTCCGTGGCTGTGGCCCCCTCAGAAGCAGACCACCAGGCCTGTCCTCCCCGGCACGCCTCTAGGTGGAGGCACGCCACCCACCTTCTGGGGAGTGGCCAGGGACTCCCGATCCAAGCAGGCACACGCTTCTGGTGACCTCCCCGGAGCCTCAGTCTTGAAGAAGGTTTTCAGGCTTAGGGTAGCCAAAGAGAACAAAGTCTGCTTCGTAGAGTTTGTACAGCTGCTGCCTCCAGGCCAGCGGGATCCTGGCGAACCAGTCCTCCTCCCAGCTGCTGGCGGTTCTGTTGCGGTAGCTCGGAGGGAAGCGGAGCAGCTGGTCCACTTTGAGCAGCCGCAGCAGCTGCGTGGCATCCGTGTCCAGCGTCTCCAGCTTGCCCACAAAGTCGTAGTCAATCTGGCAGGGGTGGCAGAGGCGGTAGACCTGCCTCCAGTGCTCGTTGAAGGGCGCCAGCCTCTCGGTGTGTGGGTCCAGCAGGTACTGGATGAAGGTGTTGAAGGACACCTTGAGGCCGGCACGGAAGGCCTCGCTGACGGAGGCGGGCAGGCTGGTGAAGTTGGCATACGTCTTCAGCATGGGCACTGCGAACTTGCGGTAGAACTCCTCGTTCTCCAGCTGGAACTTGCTGCGGAAGGCGGAGATGAGGCGCACGAAGGGGTCCCGCACGAACAGGAACTTGGTGTACTTCTTCAGCTTGATTTTCATGAGGTGGCGTGAGAACTTGCCGTAGCGGCGCCAGAACTTGTTGAAGGTCAGGTGGGTGCTGGAGTTGTGGACGTGCTCGCGGGGGATGCCTAGCGGCTCCCGGTAGGGTGCCCCCTGGTCCAGCAGGCTCCCGCTCAGGACGATCATCACCCGCTTCCAGTTGGTGCAGGCCACCTTGGGCACATAGCAGTAGATGACCCCGTGGCGGTCGTCCACTATGAGGTGGTTCAGCTCATAGTTGGGGATGTCGTCGAATGAGCGCCCCTTGGTGGGGAAGGTGAGGCTCGAGTTGGCACAGTAGTCCTTCAGCACACGCCTTCGCTCGGCCTGCAGCCTGTCCTGGTCCGGGCTCTGCTGGGTGTCGTGGGGAGACCAGTCGTAGCCCCTCACACTTTCCTCCATGTTGCTCAGGCTGGGCCGGCTGGAGGCCAGCGAGGGGCGCTGCTCAGGCTGCGTTCTGGATGCGTCATTCTGCTTCAGGCTTGAGCCAAGCAGCTTGTCCAGGAACTCGTCCACGTCCGATGTGGAGTCCCTCCCCTCGTCTGGCCCAGGCGTGGCGGGTGGCTCTGGTGGGTGCGGCCTGGACAGTGATGTGTGCAAGTAGAAGTGGGCGGTGCCCACGTTGTCCCAGTACACGATGATCACCAAGATCGTGAGGAGGGAGCCCAGGGCCAGCCAGAGCCGGAAGAGCCGGGCTTTCACCATCCTGCGTGGACCAGTGGGCGCAGCCTCCACCCAGGCCCCTCACTCCAGGCTCCTGGACAGGTGGGGCATGGTGTGCCGAGCAACCTGGGGGCAACAAGACATGAAAGGAGACCTCAGCCCTAGATGCTCGGATGAGGCAGGGCTAGCCAGGGTTGGGCCCTCCCCCTACACCACCGGTCACCTGCTGCCCTCCCTCTCCTCCCCTCCCCCTACACCAGTGATGACCTGCTCCCCTCCCCCCTGTACCACTGGTCACCTACTGCCTCCCTCCCCTATGCTCTCCCCTGCACCACCAATAACCTGCTCCCCTCCCCGCTGGACCAGAGGTTACCAGCCGCCCTCCTTTCCCCCATTCTCCCTGCACCAGTGGTCACCTGCTGCCCTCCCTTCCACTTCCGTCCTCCACTGCGAGTTCCATCAGGGCCTACAGCAGCTGACCACTGCACGTCTCACACACACCCTTCATGTAGGGTCACTGGGTAAGGGCCTCATATATACACAGGCCACTGTGCTTACTCTACATGACAAGCTCACAGTAGGCATCACCACCCCTTTCACAGGTGAGAAAACGGCTCAGAGAAGAGACGAGCATCTGAGCGCAAGTTCTGGCCTCTGCTCCCTCTCCACCCCGCCCCCATCCAAAGTGCTCTACGTACAGCTGTGCTGCTCCCCACCTGACACGCGCCAGACCACACGCACTGCAAACGTACCATCTGTTAACCGACACAGCCGCACCTGTGAGGCCATGCCTACACTGGAGGCCGTGCACCCTGCCTCGCCCAGGCTCCGTCCCGTCCCTCTGCAGCACCAGCACTCGCCTACCGTTTCCTGGCACTGCAGTTCTGCTGGCGTTTTCTAGTTTTATTTCATGCAAGGGTACAGCCCACCCTGTTGTGTCTGCTGCTTTCACTCAGCACATTCACTGCGGGACACATCCACGTGGCCCGACACACTGACAGCTCACTGTTTTCATCTGCTGAGTGGCTTTCCATGGTAAAAAGTACTGCCTCTGGAATCAGAGTGGTACCTTACATCCACATGCATGAACACACACACACACACACACACACAAATACATGTACACATGTGCACAGGCATGCACAAACATGCGCACACATACGTGCACAGACATGCGCAACACACATGCATACAAATGTACACACATGCGGACATGCATACACAATTCACGTGTGCACACATGCATACACAGTTCACAAGTACATGCACACACATGCACACAAACATGCACTCACACACACACATGCATGCACACACACATCCTCGTACCTTCCCAGCCCTCTCCCAGGATTTAAGCCACAGTGGAAGTTGTGTCTTATTCACAGTGAAATGTGGTCAAAGGATGCAAAAAAAAACCAAAAAAGCACTGACCCACGTCACTTTAGTTTTGTGTCTTTCACTGTACATAAATTATATTTCAATAAAATGCATTAAAAAAAATGTGGTCAAAGGAGGGACCTGGAGAGCCCCTCCTGACTCTGTCTTGGTCACAAACGGACAAGAACACGACACTGCCGGGGTCCTTGCTCTTCTGACCCAGCAGACGCCTGCAGAGCACTGACGCAGCTCAGCCCTCAGACGGAAAGCCCACCTGCCTGCCGTGGAGGCAGCGGCAGGTGACAGCTGCAGGCTGACGGGGAAGCTGACTCATGGGACGGTTCTTGGCCCAAAGTACTGAGAAGGGTTCTCAAGTTCAAAGACAAGGCGCCTTCTTTTAGCAAAGATGTCTAATTACAGCCACTCGAATGTTTCCTCCCCTGGTTTATTAGCACTGAAATGAAACAGACTTTCGATCTATAACCCACCTACCATTTCAAGTTCTCTTCGTCCACGTCTATCTCAAGTGTGACAGTATCGGACAGCCCCTAGATGAGGAACGAGGAGTGCTGGGCTCTGGCTCTGTGTTTACTGATTTGCACATGACAGACAGGCAGTCATAGAACCTTCTAGGGCATCAGTGTGGCGGACCCACATCACCTTTACTTTCTAAAAAACAGCAAGGCATGTACTGATGTCCGTCCGTCACACTGTGGCTTGTGTGGTGCTGTGAGGCTGGAAGCTACACCCCGGTGTTCCAAACCCCAGCAGGGTCACCAGGTGGACAGGTCTCAGCAGAGCTTCTAGACTGAGACAGACTTGGAAGAAAGGCCTGGAGATGTACTTCTGAAAATGAGCCAATGAACTTTATGGACACAACAGAACACTGTCCAACACGGTGCCAGGAGACGAGCTGGGCTGGGAGGCGCTCAGAATACACTGTGACTGCGACAAGGCACTTGAGGGTCCCGGTGACCGCAAACCAAACACCAAACCCAACCCCTGCCACTGAGGTGATTCTGACTCAGAGTGAATCCCACTGGGTTTCTGAGAATGTAATTCTTTACAGAAATAGACTGCCCAGTCTCGCTTCTGTGGAGTGGTTGGTGGGTTTGAACCATCAACCTTCAGGTTAGCAGTCAGATGCCTTAGTCACTGTGCTACCAGAGCTCCTTAGTGACCATGAAGATAGTGTAAAAAGAACCAGCCACTGCTGCCCAGTCAATCCTGACGCATACAGGCCCTACAGCAAGCCTACAGAGCAGACCTGCCCCACAGGATCTCTGAAGCTGTCGTCTTTACAGAAGCAGACTGCCTCTTCTTTCTCCCACACAGCAGCTGGTGGGTTTGAACTGCTGACCTTCCGGTTAGCAGCCAAGCGCTTAACCACTGCGCCACCAGAGCTCCTGAGCATGGTGTGGGGCCAAGCAACATTTCGTTTTGTTGTACGTGGGGCCACGCACGTGGGTACGTGTTGGCCAAGAGTCAACATTTACTCAGAACGAGTAGAGCTCATTGCATGAGCTCAGATCCACAGGCCGAGGTACGCAGCAACCTCTCCCTGGGCAGCTCCACGGAAAGCAGGTTATGCATCTGGTTATTCCTGGAACACGGACTCCTAACAAGGAAGGTGACACCAAGACCAGTGTCATGCTGCTCCCAAACACTGTGGGTGCCAACCACCCACAGCCGCACGGCAACTCTAACACAGGGACAGTCAGACTCAGGGAGGGAGCATCCTCACACACTTCCCACCCTCAGTGCTGACATCTTCCCTAACGGTTCCATCCAATTAGGGTGGTGGCTGCACTCCTGTCACTCGCCCCAGAAGGATGAGGGAGCCCCGGGATATGCAGTGGGGAAAGGCTGGGAGAAGGCAGGCAGGCTGCACCCCTGCTGTGACCAGCCAGTGAGGGTTTAGACGTTACACTCTGAGGACCTATGGGCGTGTGCCAGCTGCAAGGACACCCCAGTAACTGATGTGTGTGTGGGGGCCATGAGCAACTGGCCAGCCGCGCGTGAACCACCCTGGGCGCCGGGACATTCTGACTGAACGGTCCTTGGTATCTGACTTTGTGGGCTGTGAGCATCTGTGTCATTGCTGCTGTTTTCCTGTCAGAAAAAAAAAAAAGTACAGTTTTATAAAGATAAACAACGACCAAAAAGGTGTGGCACACACTAGAGCAGCGTCACGGAAGCTCTGAGCCCACTGCTGACACGCTCCCCCTTCACAGAAGGTCAGCAGGCTGACTCCAACTGCCAGGTGCTTACAAGACAAAGCTTACATTTTAAAAACACTTACGATCAGGGCTGCATGGGGAGAGAGGCCCCCTCTCCTTCGAGATGACCAAGCTCATGCGTGTCTGCCTCCTGGGCCCGGAGCCCTGCCACACTCCGAAGCTCATCCCGGCCCTAGACTGGCCAGGCTTGGCTGCAGCTCCCCCGCCCCTGCCAGCCTTTCACCTCCACGCCTCTGGGGCATGACGAGCCCAGTCTGAGCAGCCACGGTTCAGTTTCAGCATCAAGGTACAAGGGCTGCCACCCATGCTGTCCATTCCGACCTCAAACAAGCCACAGACCCAGCAGCTGTAAAACAAGAACTTGAGCTAGTTTATTAAGAGCCCTGTGAAAGCCAGTGGTCCTTCAAAAGGAAGGAACCGTGACTATCTTAAAAAGCACGCAGCTTGTGGTTTGTAGAGCTGCGAAGAGAAAGCGAAGGGAGGGAGGGAACGACCAGCAGACGGTGGAGGGACCGAGGGGCAGCGCGGTAACCCGTGCGTGTCACAGGACAGCTGTGCTCCCAGGGTCTTCAGTGGCCAGTTTTCCAGGAGTGGACAGCCAGGCATTTCTTCCGAGGGGCCACTGGGTGCACTCCCACCGCCCACCTTCTGGTGAGCAGCACCGCCAACAGCAAACTGTACTGCTTCCAAGGCAGTTTCAACTCTGGAGGGTTTCTGAGCCAGTTACCGTCACGGAATGACTTTCGGGCAGTGCGAGGCTAATGTCCTGTTTAACACTGCTGCCGGGTGACAACGAGAGAAACAGGCTAGGGAGAGACAGACACGAGAGACCTTGCCTGCCTCAAACCCATCTTGGGGAACATTCACCTCAACAAGGAATTTCTCACTCAAAAAACAAGGGTGTCATTTCCAAACATGCACCTCCCACAAAAAGCCTCTGTGGTTAAGTGCTGCATCTTTCTCCCACAAAGCAGCTCGTGGGCTTGAACCTCCAACCTTTCAGTTAGAAGCTGAGCACTTAACCACTGGCCAGTAGGGCTCCTGGAGTCACCATATGACCCAGCCATTCCACTCCTAAGTATATACCCAAAAGACTTTAAAGGAGGAACGCAGACAGATACTTATACACCAGTGTTCAATACAGCATTCTTCACAATGGCCCAAAAGTGGAAACAACTCAAACGTCCATCAACAAATAAATAAACAAGTATGTTGTATGCATTATTCTACATAATTCAGTCATAAAGAGAAATGAAGTTCTGATATATGCTAGGTATGACATGGATGAACTTTGAAAACATTATGTTTAGTGAAAAAAGTCAGATACAAACAGGCAAATAGTATATGACTTCACTTATATAAAATACTTGTTGTTGTTATGTGCCATCGAGTCAGATCTGACTCATAGTGACCCCTCCTTGGGTT